AAAAAAAAAAAAATGTAATGAAGGCTGACTTCCCGTTAAAAACTACTATAAGCGAGTAGTGTATTAAACTAACTTAAAAGATAAAACTCTAAGGTTTAAGTTTAATTCTTTTGATTTAGGAAACTCAACTATTGAGACTTAAGTCCGAAGTAAATATATTCCAAAATGGCACATAAAAGTCTTTGTTCTTTTTACTTTTTTTTTTCCCCCGCCCCCCCCTTCCGTTTATACTAATTTTAAAGCATACGCGCTTAATTAAAGCCTAAAGAAAGTTATTAACTTTAATTATTTGTTTTTTAAACAATTCACACAAAACTATATTGATTATCCACAGCCCGTATGGAAGTTGTGTTGACCGCACTACCAGCTGCAACATTTGTATTCGTTTCGTTACTGTGACCGCTAAAAGCTGCTGTTTGACGATTATTACTATTATTACGAGACATAACCGGCGATTGCAGGTAAATTGTGGAACCTCTTATATAGTAATGAGTCGGCGACATTGAGCTATGCATTTCGTAATCAGTTCGCGGCTGTTCCAATGTTAACGATTCCAATTCTAATGCCAAATTTTGATTCGGATTTGTATTTGGCGGTGCTGATACCGCTGGTACTGTTGTCGCTGATGTAGTTATAACTTGCTGTTGCTGATGTTGTACTGGCTGTGAAAAATATTGTTGTGGTTGCTGCTGCTGCTGCTGCTGTTGTTGTTGTTGCTGTGATATTGGTTGCATTAATTGTTGTTGATGATGTGCGACCATTCCTACAGCTAGTAATTGTGCTAAGTCAATTTCACAGGTTTTTAGACGCACACTCACATTCATGGAAATTACATCCTGCGACTGCAAGATATGAAATAGATGGTCAGTTTTTTTTCGAATTTAAATTGAACATTTTTCCGATTTAATCTATAATAAGAAATATTCTATCAGTCATGCCAACGCTTATCATAAATAAGAGAAGCACTATATATTATTATCTTTCGGTATAATCGTTGAAGCGTTAAAAAAAAAAAGAGAGAAGGAAAAATTTTCATCATTTCCAGAGCAAATTTTAAATAAAAACAGACGGACGGATTCTTGTATCAATTTAATGAGCGCTGACACGTCCCCTTTTCTTTTAAGAGTAAATTACAGCAGAAATTGTCTTCACTTTTTTCGGATTGCCGGATGGGTGTGAAACGGAAAGCGAAGTAAAAAAAACTTCAGCCCAACCAAGTTGAAACAACATTAAATAAATTATAATCTATAATGCAACAATAACAACAAATAAACTCATAAAAATAATAATCATCACTGACACTGAATTGACTCCAAAATTTTGGCTATCTCACATGTCTCGGCGATGTATCTTGCTGGGATGGTGGTCCACCCCCTCCCGTTATTGCATTTGCATTATTATTAAGCAGTGTTGAGACTGTGGTGCCATCAATTCCATTTGATTCGATCATTGGGCCACCGCAAGCTTGATTGTGTATAAATTCTGTTAGAGTAACATCCGAGGTACCGCCCGATTCTAATGGTATAGGATTGTGACGAAAATGCTCGAGCATTTCTTGTATGGAAGGGAACCACAAATGTTGCACACGGCACTGCCCCTTATCGGATAGTGTCATACGTAAATGTTTGGCACGTCCATTGAAATTGAAGGTGAGCACAAATTCACCTTTGCGTGTTTCACTCTGACGCACTAGGAAGAAACCATGACCATTTGCTTCAGCTTGTAGGACCATACGAGCAGCATCTGATCGCGGCAAAGTACCATGGAACCAAGGATATTGACGCATTTCGGCCGTAATATCTGATACATTGATATCACTTTCGTTATCTAAAATAATTCCGTCACAGGTTTCGACATTACTTGATGACGATAAACGTTGTTCTCCACGTTCACCTGTTCGTCTAGGCGGTATATCAGGCAAGTGGCTATCGCCAGCTGCCTCATCTGCCGTTGCTGGATCACCACTATCCGCACCGGTTGCCGTCAGAGAAGATAAAGCATTTTCGGATAGAGAACTGCTAGGCGCTACATTGCCGTTCGAGCCCATGCCACTTTGTTGATGATATTGGGGATTTTGTACAACGTTCAAGCCGACGGCACTAGTTGGGTTTACCGGCGATGTATGCATTGCTGATGCTATAACATCCGATTCGATTGTAGGTTGTTGAGTTGGTGGCGTACGCATACAGTAACGTATTGTTGCTAACCAACTTCGCATGTCGTTAGCATCCTGAGCCTCAATTACATATTCCATATTGTTGTCCGCTTTCAAAACAAATGTATTTTCACGATCAGGCATTTCCAACGCTGTAGTTTCACGCGCCTCCGATATTAGGAAACAAAATACACCACTTCGAGGCTGAAATTGGAAACATTTCTCGAGTTCGTTCATTTCTATTAAGCTAGAATTCATTTAATATGCGTTACCTTTGTAGCTTTTGGCGGCATATAAAATTCCAACATGTAACCACCGACCGCTTTCACCAAAGCCAAACGACATTTTTCCCATTTTTGTGTGCCAGTTGGTTGATCCAAACTTTCTGGCGTTAAATTATTAACTATGCCTTCTTTACGACATTCAACTACAATTTTAGCCAATTTTGTTTTATTTTTACCGCCACTTTCTAGATCGTCCGAGTTTTTATGGAATAGCGCCTGTAAGAAGAGAAAATTCTAATGATAACTCATTTAAAAATGGCTGCTCAATACTATCTATCTAGATGGGCTGGATTAACAGCATTTTAGAAATTAATAGCCAACCTTGCCCTTTCGTAGTCCTTTAAATGACAGGCGTCGAAAGAATGCTTTATGGAAGATTTTCGGTGAGTCATGTTCGCTTTCGTCAAGAGCAGCATTACCACTCTAGAAGAAAGAAAGGGAAAGAACAAAGATTAATATTAATGGAAAAAAGAAAAAAAAAAATCGAAAAATATCGAGTGCGTGGGCGGGCTATTTGCTAATACTTTCTACGTCGACGGCAGACAATGCTTACGCACGTAACACCTACCCACCCATTAAACTTGATAAATGAAATGTCCCATGTCTATTTTTGGCTAACGTCCGTTCATTCGTAAATCTACTTTATTGTATTTTATTGCAACATTGCAACGCATTTTAAAACAACCTACAATAACATTTGCACACAAGGCGATTATCATGATTGTTGTTAAAGCGTAACTTTCCAAGAAAACTATGCGAGTCATCTAAGGAGAATTGAAGAATTTTCCATCCGTACTTGTTGAGGTCCAAAAGAAAAGTTAGATTTAAAGTCGCCCCCTTCTCTTAAAAGGACGTCGATCGATATGGTGAATTCTGTGTTTATTAAGGCGATATTTGCCTGCATATAAAAATGAACATTCATCGTGATACACGCTTTGGTGGAGTGTCCAATCGCTAATGTAAAACGTAAGAGATTATTGTGCCATCTATGCCACATTGCGTATGCTTTACAAGGATATTAATAACACGTAAAATTAAAAATATTATATTGGGACCGATTCCATCGTTATTTATCCCTATCGTTGTCCCTATGAAGGGTTTTCGAAATAATGCCCTTATCTGGGAAGTGAGCGAAAAAATGCTTTGATTCGAACCATTTCCAATGGCATTTGCTGGGTTACCTATGTGTATGAACGTTAGATTAGTGTAAAAAAAAAAAAAGTGTGTCTATCGTATGTCCGTCTTCGCACAAATTTTCTTTATTCCATACCGTCATATCACAAGTGATGTGGAATGTAAAAAACATACATTTTCATAATATTTGCTTTTGCTTGAACTTACCTTTAAATTGTTACGCCTACGAAAGAATTCAGTTTCATAATGTTCGGCAAATGAGTCGACAAACTTTTGGCCAAAATTTCGATATGACAAATTGCGTGCTTCTTCTGGTGTTAAATTCCCATTTATAAAATTGATGCAAGCTTTAGCAAAATCAGCGGCAGCGACGCGTGCATGACGATCGGAAAACTCTTCCCAGCTAGTACCGCATGAATAAGTGATACCCGATGTTGAAGATGAACCTAACATACTGCTACTGGGTATTAGATCTGAGGCTCCAATACCGCCTACAGCGCCGCCAGAACTGCCGCTACCTATGTAGCCGCCAATACTAAAAGCAGCCGTGCTGTTGCCACCCATTTTATGTTAAGCCCACAAACAGATAAACAAAAAACCCGAAAAATTCTATTTCCAAGGCAGAGAAAGAGTTGTGCACAGATAATCTTCAAAAAAGAATTTATTTATTTATTTCTTGATAGCTTCTTTACTCCGGGGCGATGCTATACTTTGTATTTAAATTGAATGTATTAGAGCATAGTTTGTTTGTTTGATCATGCCGAACAAACGCCTACATAAAAATTTTTCTTCTATTTTTTTTTTTTTAGTAAATGGTCTGTCTTCCTGAAAATAGAAAATGATATTTTATATATATGTAGTTAGTCAGTTACCTATAAATTGATATCTTAAAAGCATTAAATTTTGTTTACGATATTAAATAATAAATTTCGTTTTTTTTGCCAATGCTTAACACTATGAACATATATATATATAGATTTGATTCATTCATAAAATATGCGCAGTAATTTAGGTTATGAATTGTCGTTATTGTTATTGTTGTTGCTGTTGTTGCTGTTGTTATTGTTGTTACTTTTGATTTTGCTTTTATATTGTTAGTTAATTGTTATAGCTTCTGTGCGAGTACGCAGGCAGGCAGTCAGACAGTTGGTTGGTCCCCTTTCCTTACTTGCTATTCAATTAATGTTATCTTTTTGTGGATGGAGTAGGGTCTTTTGATTTCTCTGAATTATGATTGACGGCTATTTATTTATTTATTTATTAATAAAAACAAGTTTGGCTGACGTGTTTTATAAAAAAAAAAAAAAACAGAGTTTAAAAATGAAATAAAACAACTAAAGAACCATTTTATTTAAATGCATGCATAAACATGAAATTTCAAGCGCATATGAATCAATTATCATAATATTCAAACAACAAACAGAGATATTCGAAACTTTTCAACCAAGTATATTTAACATATTTTAGATGCAAGAAAGTGGTGACTGTTTTCTTTTTTCTTTTTTTTTTTAAGCAAAAAAAATTTCTCTTTGTTATTACACTTTAATAAACTTTCATGTTACTGCCGCCGCTTGTTGTTGTTGTGTTGTAACTTTTAAATTAAACTTCACTTACATAAAAATATTCTCTATATTTTTTAAACTGAAATAATAATAATAACAATAGTAATGATAAACAAAAGTTATGAGAGCATTATCTCTACGCAAATAATATTTGGTTTTTTTTTTTTGTTTTGTTTTGTTTGGCTCAAATCTGGCCGAAAAATCCCCCGCTCATTCAGCAATCAACCGCGCCACCACACACGATAAACTAATAATAACAAAATGTATGCGATTATCTCTTCTTGACTTTGCAAATAACGTGCACACATACACACGTATACATTTGAATTATTCACAATTCACTCTCATTCGTATGCATACGCGCGGTGCGCGATGAAAAACAACAATTACTTACTATTCACATAGCAGACTCACTCATGCACATAAACAGACACATATTCATATTGAGAAGACGACACTTGTTTATTCATGTTTCATTAGTTATGCTTTAATTATATACGATATGGGGAACGCATTAAGCTTCTCTAGCGTTTTGTAGCACAAACAAATATACTTTAATTATATAGTTGCAATTTTCTTAATACATAATCAATTCATGAATAATCTCGAAATCGTTTCAGAAAAAGAAATTTTTCAAACCAGAATAAAGTATTCGGATAAGCGGATAGTTGGGCTGTCGAATAGTAATGAGTTTCGTCTCTTTATAGCTTATGATCCGGAACGAAGGACTCATTATCCGTTTGATTCTTAGATAAAGCTGGCCGACGGTCTTTTGTTACTTTGAAGTCTGGTGCAACTTTTCACTTTTTCAAAATATTATTATAATAAGACTAATACTAAACACAACTATGTTAAGAACGACTCATAGTCTCCAACACTATAAAAGCAACTCATAGCCTTCATAACTATGTTAAAAACGCCTCATAGCCACCACAAGCATGTTAAAACCAGCCACTATGCCGACCTTTGTGATTAGTAAACAATTTCATATTTTTGATTTCTTGATGAGCGATGCTTGTTCTTCCTCACATTTTCACATTTTTATTGATTATCATTACATTGTAGGGCTCAGCCGGCAAAATATTATAAAATAAATAAAATGATCCAAGATCCTAAAGATGGCCAACAAATAGTACGAATTATTTCTAGTCGAGATAACAATCTCCACGAAGTTGAAACGGCCGATATGGAAACTGAGCATTTTCTGGGTAAATGGAATAAATTCTAATATCATACATGAAGGCTTTTTTTATCGTAACTATGCCTACAAAATTCCCAAAAAAGTGGCACATAACTACTACATTCAACAAACGTGCAATAAAAACAACGCAGTCAAAAGTTAAAAACGACATATGTCATGTAAACATATATGTAATATAACTTATATAATAGCTTGACATAAAAATTTAGCACTAGCATCTAAGAATCTATCGGCTTTATTGAAACGCACTTGAGACGACGCAATTTATAATATGTATGTGTGTTGCACATTATGAGCAACGAGCAGAAAACACAGAAAACAAAAGTGTTTACAGTTACATACGCGTGTAGCCGTTTTACGTGGGCCCTTTGACGGGTTTGGGTCATTTTCAAATTCTTTCGTAAATTTTTGCGAAAGGACGGACGGACATACGCAACATTTATGGGGGTTTTGAAACTTCCTCCATCTTCAGGGCGTTGCAAAAAGTGAATATGGGACTCATCCTTGGGTCGATGCGTCGATCCATTTGTGTACAGGTGCTACAGCATCGCCCATAGAGTAAACCTTGAAATACTTATCGATTAACCGGATGCAGTTTACAAGTAATGAGCCAATTTTTTATTCCTCTTGTAAAACTTAGCTCTTTTCACGAGGTGTACGCGGTACAGTAGGCGTATTTCTGTTAAATTTGGAGTCGATAGCTTCATTTTTGCTATGATGGAGGAGAATGGACTTGCTTAAATCGATTCAAAATTAGATGCCGATCAAAAATATTGAGAACTCTGAAGCTTACTTCTGACCGTTCCAAACGTTTCGACAAAACAAATATAGCTAAATGTGTTAACTTGAAAAGCTACTGAGATGCTGTCGCTGAATGCTCTTTATTTGACATGTCTGCAACACTTGACATTTTCGTTGTGAAAAAAAAAGTACTTTCGCGTTACGATATGCGTCCGCATTACCGGCTGCTCAACGTTGTTAAATGGCAAAGTGATAAAGTTAAGGCAACTCCATGCATAAGCGTCCCCTACAGGTGTTGGCGTTAGCGCTATCTATGGACGAATTCCGGTTTCATATTTACATTCCCGGTAGTTTTTTAAATACAGTAACAACTTACTTCTGCAATAATTGAACTATCCTAGAATTCAACTTTGACAAATTTGTAATATTGATGAACTTTTTTATACCCTACACCGTAGTCGGGGTGCGGGAGTGCATTAACCTTGCGCGGTTGTACACAATACGCAGAACGGCATGAGATAGATTCACCTTTTACTATATTGGCCGAGAGAGTGATTCACTCTCTGAATCGATCTAAGCTTGCTTGTCTGTCTGTCTGTCTGTCCGCTTGTGTCCTTCTGTTTAACCTACAGTTCGCAATTTTTAAGGTATTTTGATGAAATTTGATGACATACGGACGAACACCATTGAAAACAATTGGGATCTGACAACTTTTTCGCGCACTTTCCATATAATTTCTCATTTTGAAAAGCCGTTATATGAATTATTGTACAAAATGGAATGGTGTAGGTGTCCCACTCTACTGTTTTTGTTTGTTTTCTTTGCTTTTTTTCGTAATTCTAAACTACACTTGAGAATCGTAACAAAGACACGCAGGACTGAAGAACACTGAAAAAAAAGTGTACAGTATTTGTCAACTCTAGTACGTTTACACGTTATAGTCAAGTCGTGTTCTCGCCATCTTCTCTTCCCTTAATATGCAAATAATTCAAAGCGTAAAGCACTTCGGAAATGGATATAGATTACGGATGGAATGACATTTGTAAATTTTTTACTTACAAGCCCCCGTACAAAACTACAGCTATAATCAGGGAAAACAGTTTAAATTATTTTATTCAGTTTCGGCAAAAAAGCTAGGTAAACCGGAGCGGTAGGTGGGGGATGCAAAACGCTTAAAAATTTCATGTTTTTTTTCGATTCCTAAACGCCATTGGGCTCCGCATATGTTCATCATAGCACTGTAGCGCTGTATGCACTGTTTATTCATCTGTTGAATTTTCAATTAAAGTCGTATTTTTTCTAAAATATTGAAATCTTTCCTTTTCAAGCATAAAAAATCCCTTTAACCTCTTCTCGCTCCCCCTCCCTCTCCCCCTCTGCCAGCTAAAGTTTGCATAACTCAAGTAATTGGAAGAGCTTTCTTTAAGGTTATTTACGTAGTATGTTATCGTCATTTATGCTTTTCAGGGCATAGTATGAAACTTTGTGTTACTTTTGTTAAATGACACTTTTACTTGTCGTCGCATTATTATCTTAAATAAGTAAGAACGTTATAGTTGGGCAAGGCCGAACTTTAAGTACCCTATATATGAAATTACTATTATGGGTCAATTTTCATGATTACGTATTAAAACTTGCACTTTTATGCTATACAAAGGATCCAAAAAATAGGCCGAGATGGCCTATCCAAATTTGATAGAGTCCACTTTTCTATGTTAAATTACTACTACTACTACTACGATATAACTTTCATCATGAAGTATTGAAAATTATAGCTTTTTGTCGTATGAACTTTAGTTTTCGTTATATGCGAAAGGGTCGAACGGCCCAAAATTTTCGTGCCAATTTTGAATTCCGAAATACTACTACGGGAAATTTTGCAAATTCTAATTTTTTTCATATAACGGCTTTTCAAAATAGGGCAATTTAGGAGGAAAAGTGGTCCGATTCGAACCATTTTCAACAGCGCTCGCCCTTGGGTCAAAACACATCATCGCATCAAAATATCTCAAAAATTGCGACCTTTAGTTTGAACACTAGTTTACATGGACATAGGGACCGACAGACCTAGATCGCTTTAGAAAATGATTCTGAATCGGTCGACAGGTCTATCTTAAGCGCTTCTGTTTGTTGCATACATCCGCACAAACTTAATATACGCTATACCACAAGTAGTGTAGGGTGTAATTATATATGCCAGAGTACGTTTCCCTTATGCATTAGATCTCTTTAAATTATATGCGCAGTGCGGTCATATTGTAGTAATGTTCGTAT